GTGAAGAAGGGATTGTAGTATGGTCATCCCCCCTGTGGAAGTAATTTCTTACTTTCCCTCTCACTGTCGCTGGTGAGCACACATATCCTATGGCAAAAACTGAAATAAAGAGGTGACATTTATGCTGAGAACTGAATAATGAAAAGGATAAAACAAAACAAGAAAGAGCATTCCAAGCAAAGCAAACAATTTAGGTAGGTCCTTAAGGTAAAAACTCAACACAACCAAAGCACTGAAAAAAGACTCATATTACTGGAGCTCAGTGAACAAGAGATGGAATAGCAAGAAAAATGATGGAGTAGCGAGGTAGGGGTATATTGCTCACCACTTTTAGAATTTGGCACATGTTGGTATTTTCTTCTAAGCCCCAATGAGAAAGTCACCAGTGAGGACCAGCAGATGGCAGAATATTTAAATTGCTGGACTCCCACATGGATGACCATGGGTCAAGTCTCAGACCCAGCAGCCTGAAACTCATGCTGGGCATGTGTGCATGCATGCCCAAGATCCTGAGAGGAGAATGGAAAAGGGATTGCAATGTGGCCATCCCCTCTCGGGGGTGATTTCTCTTTTCCTGTCTCTCTGTCTCTCCAGCAAGAGCATGTACCCTGTAGCAAGAATCTCTCCAAAAGCAAATTACAAAAAAAACAAAAACAAACAAAAGCAACTACAACAAAGTTCTTTAAACAGAGAAGTTGGGGCTGGGAGGTGGCATGGTGGTTAAGGGCGCTGGACTCCCACATGGCTGGCTGACTGTGGTTCAGGTCCTGGGCCTGGCAGCTTGTTCTCACTTCTTTTTCTCTCTCTCTCGCTCTATCCCTCTCTGGTCAAATTGAAATAAATAAATGGATAAATGAAGTCAAATAAAATAATTCTTTAAAAAAGTCATCAGTGACTTTTTTTTTAGAATATTTATCTAATTTTATTTGTTGTCGTTAGTATTTTTTAAATTTGACAATAGAGAGAGAGAAAGAGAAAGTGAAAAAGCAAGCTACCAGGTCCAGGACTCAAACCATGTTCAGTCATGTGGGAGTCCAGCTCCTTAACAACCACACCACCTGCCAGCCCCATCACTTGTGACTTTTAGAAAGGGTAGTGACATAATAGTATTTCTGTTCCAGAAAACTCATTGTGGTAGCTGTGTGGAAATGAATTGAAGGGGCCAGCAGGTGGCATAGTGGTCTCTGTCTGGTCAATTTTTTTTTTTAAGAATTATTTTTATTTAATTTTATTTATTAATTTATCTTATTTTAATTTGACCACACACACACACACACACAGATAGAGATAGAAATAGAGATAAAAAGAGAGAGAGAGAGAAAATGAGAAAGCAAGACGCCAGGTCCGGGACTTGAACTGTGGTCAGGTATCTGGGAGTATCTAGTGCCTTAATCACCATGCCACCTGCTGGCCCCCATGTCTGTTCAAATTTTTAAAAAATGAATAAGATAACAACTGGAGTTAAATTCTTAAAAAAAAAAAAAGAACAAAAATGGATTGAACATGATTTCCTAAGACAACTCTTGTGAAAGTTCCGTAAAAAAAAGCTATTGCATAAATTACCCTATGCTGTTAGAAATCAGGACAATGGGGACCAGCAGATGGTGTGGTGGTTAATTAAGGGTGCTGGACTCCCACATGGCCGACCATGGTTCAAGTACCACACCTGGTGACTTGTTTTCTCACTTTCTCTCTCTCTCATTCTGTCCCTCTCTGATTAAATAAATAAATACATAAAGTTAAATAACATAATAATAATTTTTTTAAAAAAAGAAAAAGTCAGGACAATGGGGATCAACAGGTGGCAGGGTGGTTAAGGCACTGAACACTCCCACATGGCTGACCATGGTTCAAATCCTTGGCCTGGAGACTTGATTTCTCACTTTTCCTCTCTCTCTCTCTCTCTCTCTCTCTGTCTCTCTCTCTGGTCAAATTAAAATAAATTAATAAATAAAGTTAAATAAAAAATAATTCATAAAAAAGATCTGGACAGTGATCACTGCTGGGGGTAGTGAGAGTAGTTACTAGAGAAAAGCATAGAGGGAGAGATTCTTTTTTTTTTTTGAGAGGTTTTCGCTATAGGGCGCGTGAGCTCGCCAGACAGACAGAGAGAGACAAAGAGATAAAAAGCAAGAAATCACTCCCCAGGGAGGATGACCACGCTGCAATCCCTTCTCCTCCATTCTCCTCTCAAGATCTTGGGCACACACACACACGTGGCCAGCGTGAGTTTTAAGCCTCCGGGTCCAGGACGCAAACTGCGGTCGACTACGTGAGAATCCAGCGACATAGCCATTACGCTAACTGCTGGTTCCCCTCAAGGGAGAGATTCTAAAAGTGCAAGGACTGTTCTGGGAGCTCGTTAAATGGATATGGTACTTTGTGAATATTTAAGCTGGGGCATTATGATATGTGAATTTTCCCAAGATACATATTATAACTTAATAAAAAATTAAAAAGAGGGACTAGCAGATGGGTAATGGTTACATTGCTGGATTCCCAATAGTCAACCATGATTGGAGTACTGGACCCATGGCCTAAAACTCACACCAGGTACGTGTGTGTGCGTGCCCAAAATCCCGAGAGAAGGGATTGCAGCATGGCCATCCCCCCCTGCTGAGTGATTTCTGACTTTCTGTCTCTCTGTCACTCCAGCAAGTGCACGTGCCTTATAGCAAAAATCTCTCAAAAGAAAGAAAAAAAATATTGAGGAAACTATCCTGTATACTCTAAAATGTCATCGGAGGACCAGATGGTGTAATAGTTTACATTGCTGGACTCCCACATGGCCAACCGTTTAGGTCCCACATCCAGGGACTTCAAAGGCACGCTGGGGTGCCAGTGGAGGAATTGCAGCATGGCCCTCCCCACCCCCTTGGGGGTGATATCTCACTTTCTATCTCTGTCTCTCTGGCAAATGCATGCCCCTATAGTAAAAAATCTTTCTTAAAAAGAAAAACTAAAAGCTGAAGAATTATTACAATAATCTAGACACAAGATTATTGATGTGCTGGCAACTGTGATTAGAATTGAAATCCAGGGGTGCCCACAGATGGCATAACAGTATTGTCATTGGACTCCCACATAGTTGACCACAGTTCAAGCCCTGGACCTGGCAGTCACACGAGGCATGTTTGTGCATGCTCAGGATCCCAGGAGAAGGGATTGTGGTGTGACCATCCCCCTAGGGTGTGATTTCTCACTTGCTGTCTCTAGGTCACCACACACGCCCTATAGCAAAATTCTAAAAAAAAAAGAAAAAAAAATTTAAGTTCAGGAGCTACAGCTTGAAACTCATACTAGGTGGGGCCAATACCTGGCCTGATGGTTGGGGTGCTAGACTCCCACATGGCTGATCACAGTTCAAGTCCCAGACCTGGCACTTTGCTTTCTCACTTTCTCTCTCTGGTGAGCATACATGCCCTATATCAAGTTTAAAAATAATGTGACCAGCACTTTGCATAACGGCTATGTCACTGGACTTCCATGTAGTCGACCACGGTTCGAGTCCTGGACCTGGTGGCTTAAACTCACGCCAGGCATGTGTGCCCAAGATCTGGAGAGGAGAGACGAGGAGAAGGGATTACAGCATGGCCATTCCCCCTGGGGGGGGTGTGTGATTTCTCTCTCTCTCTCTCTCTCTCCCCCTGTCTTTCTGGCGAGCGCACGCCCCTATAGCAAAAACCTCTCCCCCCTAAAAAAATAGAAATAACAGAACCAGCAAATGGTTAGATCACTTAATTCTCATATGGCAGACTGGTTTGAGTCCCTGACTTGGTGGCTTGAAACTCACACCAGTTGCATATGGCCAAAATCTTTTTTTTTTTTAATAGACCACAGATTAGTTTAACACCCATCATGCCATGAATTCATAGGGAATAGGTTCCAGTAGCTCAGGCTCCTTTCCATTGGTTCTCACAAAGTGTGCTTCTCTGGGTGGAGCAGGCTGGCGCTTTAGTTGAACCTAGCTACCTTTCTCTTTGGCTTCTTTCTCTTTTTCTGGTCATTTTCCTTCACACGTTTTAGGAAGCTATCTCTGCTCTTAGAATGTTTAATATGCTCAATACGCACATTGATTCTCTTGGCAAGAATCTTGCCCTTAACGTGTTTGTTTACATCAATGCCAACAGCATGCTGGGTAACACTGTAGACTCTTCCAGTTTTGCCATGGTAACATTTGTGGGGCATTCCTTTTTGAACAATACCCATTCCCTTGATGTCTACAATATCACCTTTCTTGTAGATTCACACATATGTCGCCAAAGGAACAACTCCATGTTTTCTAAATACTGGAAGATGGCAGTTCTGGCCAAAAGGTTGTGGCCAAAATCATAGGGTTAAAAAGGAGAAGATGGATTGTGGCCATCCTCCCTGGGGGATGATTTCTTGCTTTCTGTCTCTCTGGGCAGCGCACATGCTCTATAGCAAAAATCTAAAAAAAGTAATAATAAAAAAATTAAAAAAAAAAATCATGCCAAGCACCTGTGGGTGCATGTCCCAAATCCTAAAATGAGACTGGAGGAAAAGGTATAGCAGAGTGGCTAAACACCCCACGGCCCCCCCCCCCCCCCCCCCGGGGGGGGGGGGCGGGGGGGTTACTTTACACTTTATCTCTCTCTCTGATACACAGAAGCACCCTATAGCAAACAAAACAAAACAAAATAAAAAAATAGAGAAACAAAAAAGATATGTTTTGGAGGTAGAACTGACAAGAAACGGTGAATGAGGACAGAGGGAAGAATCATTGGTGTTAACAAACAACCCTCCACCAGAGGCCCCAAACCAGCTCCGCCTTCCGTTTGAACCCAAGTAGAGGAAGTGAAGCAAAGGAAGGACTTGCCAAGCTACCGGCAAACTTCCGGGCTCTCCTTGCGACGAGGCCGTAAATCTGAGAACTCCATTTGGCCCCTCCTCCAATGGGCGGGCATGAAGGGTAACGGGCCAATGGCGAGAGACTCACTGGGCAACAACCGAATGGCTCTGCAGTGGGTGGGGCCGTGCGGCCTGGGCTCTGCTAGACTAGCTCTCTGGTGTTCAGCGTCTCTGCCCACGTGGGAACCTAAGCTTTGTAGAACCGTCTTGAACCTAAAGTGCGGGAGAAAAACCTGCATCAGGAGTGATGGGACCGGCACCTGCCGGAGAGCGGCTGGGTGGAGCAGCTGGAGAGTCCGAGGTGGGTTCAGTAACTGGGAAAAAGGAAAGCACCAACGTTCGCTCTCTTGGCTTCAAGGCCGTAGATGGCTGGGCTTGACAGCTCGCGAGTGAGGGAGACCAGGGCGGCCCACTCTGGAGGAGCCTCATTTCCGCAAAGCCTCTGTCTTGGGGCGCTAGGCAGTCAGGGTTTACTACGGGAGATGGAATTTTATAATATTTGCATAGAAGCAATGAACCCTTCTGAGCTCTGCTCTCTTCGCGAGCTCAGCACCTCGAAATGAGACCCGCGGCTTGGATATTTTCCCGGACTAGGTCCTTCTTTGACTTTGAGCATTTGATATTCCGCTGCATCTCCAGCGGAGTTCGTTTCTCGACAGAACTTGTATTCAGTTCTGTGCCTCCTATTACCTCGTAAAAGGTTGGGCCAGCCCTGGTGCCCTACAGTAAGGCTCTCGAGTGTGTGGGATATAGAGGGGACAGGCATAGGACTAGAGAGAAAAAGATTTGGGATCTTGCACACCTGGGTCTGAATCCTGCTCGCAATCCATGTGTACTGATCGTGGAACCTTGAGCAAATGATGGATTTCCTTGAAGTAGCTTTTTGAGTAAATCTTCAAGGATTATTGTGACTATTGAATGACTTAGGGAATATATTCTCCAAGGCCGGGAGGATCTAGCTCCTTACATCAGTGAGCACTTAATGTATGCTGCCTCAATCTGGCTAACTAGGGAAGATGGAACCTGGGAGGATTTGAATAAACCAAGAGTAGACAGGGCGTTTTAGAAATCCCAGGCCTATGTTAGCAGCAGAGGAAACTTCAGGATCTAGGGTACCTGAAAATACAAGGAGCTTCGGCATTGCTTAGGGCAAAGCCCAGTCAGCTTCTCCTCCTAACAACTCCAAGCAGAGCTCCATGTTTGTGATGACAGATAGATAGACTTGGGGACCAGCAGGTGGTGTGGTGGTTAAGGTGCTGGACACTCCCACATGGCCAACTGTGGTTCAAGTCCTGGACCTACTGGCTTGCTTTCTCACTTTCCTTCTCTCTCTCTCTGTGTGTCTCTCTATGGTCAAATTAAAATAAGGGAATGAATAAATAAAATTAAATAAGTAAATATTTTTTAAAAAGGTAGACTCAATGAATTTTCTTTCAAATAGTGGTTATCCTAAGTTTTACAGATCCCGACTCCCATTCAAAAGACCAGGAGCAGGTAAAACCTTTACCTATAGCCTATCATGATGACACTTCAGGCAGCATACACCAAATACCAGTGACCTCACATTGGGTTCTTCTTTCTGGCCACAGATGATTGAACCAGCCCAGCAAGGCACAGGCAGGGAGGTGCAGAAGGCATCCTCAAGGAAGCGTACAGTGGCTACATCTCCAGTGGAGGGCCTCCTTCAGCCAGTGAAGCTCAGCCGGGCAGAACTGTACAAGGAGCCTACCAATGAGGAGCTGAATCGCCTTCGGGAGACCGAAATCCTGTTCCACTCCAGCTTGCTTCGTTTACAGGTACTGTTGGCTGACTAGGGTGTGGGTTAGAAGGGTGGGCCTGGGGCCCAGACACTGATGGACTCTCCCTTGCCTGCTTACAGGTAGAGGAGCTACTAAAGGAAGTGAAGCTGTCAGAGAAGAAGAAGGATCGTATCGACACCTTTCTACGAGAGGTCAACCAGCGGATCATGAAAGTGCCCTCAGTCCCTGAGACAGAGGTGTGGCGGTTGGCTTGGGAAATTGGGAAGCCTAAGGGAGGCCTTCAGTGGGGGCACATCCTACAGGGCCTTGTTTTTGTTTTGTTTTGTTTTGTTTTTTAAGGGGTCAGGATGCTAGGAAGCTCATCCTTTCTGCAAGGAAGCTCAGCTGGAGGTAGAATCATTTATGAATTAATTCATCCAGCAAGCACTTAAGTGCCTTGCAGTATTTATGTTCTTAGGGTATGTCAGTAAACAAGAACCCTATGCTGTAATGTTGGGATCATGGATAGTATGTCGTAACCATGATAAGTAAATGGTATGGCAATGTTAGAAGATGGTAAACATTATGGATAAAGGAAAAAGTAGGACAGCGTAAGGGAATGATTAACAGTATTAGGGCATGGGAGTGGTTTACCATTTTAAATAGGGTGGCCAGGGTAAGACTTACTGAGGTCACATTTTTGTAAATATGTGAAGGAGACATATATAGATATCTGAGGGACTCAGAGCATTCCAGGAAGAGGAAACAGCTGATACAAAAGCTCAAAGGCAGAATGTTCCCAGTATCCCTCTTGGGATGACTGAGGATGAGGCAGAAAAAGATGAGTTCGGGAAGGTAATGGGAGAAAGTGGCATATGATACACAAAAGACCCTGTACCCCAAAATACTTTGGTTGTTGCACTGGGTGAAGTGGAGAGCCACTGCTGGGATATTTTTGCAGAGGACTGATGCTCTCTGACTAAAAGGTCACTATTCAGTTTTTTGTTTTATTTTAAATTTTATTTATTAGTTATTATTTTTAAAATTTGGGACAGAGAGAGATAGTGAGAAAGAAAGTCACCAGGTCCAGGACCTGAACCACAGTTGACCATATGGGAGTCCAGCGCCTTAACCACCATGCCACCTACTGGCCAACTACTCCAATTTTTTTTTTTTAGATTTTTAAATTTAATTTATTATTATTTTTAATTTGACTACAGAGAGAGAGAGAAAGAGAGAAAGCAAGCTGACAGATCTGGGACTCAGACTGTAGTCAGCCTTGTGGGAGTCTAGCACCTCAACCACCACACCTACTAGCCCCCATACCCCAGTTTAAAAGTTTAGTGTTTATTTGTTTTAGGAATTATTAATTTAATTTATTTACTTATTTTAATTTGACCAGAGAGGGACAGAGTGAGTGAGTGAGTGAGAGACAGAGAGAGAAAGAAAGAAAGTAAGCCGCCAGGCCTGGGACTTGAGCCGCAGTCTGCCATGTGGGAGTCCAGTGCCCTTAATCACCATGCCACCTGCTGGCCCCTAATTTTATTTAATGTGGGCACGTGTGCTCACCAGAGAAAGAAAGGGAAAGTGAGAAAGCAAGCTGCCAGGCTTGGGACCTGAATCATGGTCAGCCACGTGGGAGTCCAGCACCTTAATCACCATGCCACCTGCTGGTTTCAAAAGTTCAGCTTTAAAAAAGTTAAGTTGGGACTTCTGGGGTCCTTGCTAAGCTCTGCAGGTGCTGCAGCAACGGAAGAGGTGGTCAGGGGAGGAGGCGCCTCCTACCGGCGCCACTGGTATCTGCTGCCCCCGCTGGTGTCCGCTCACGGCGGGAAGCGCCTATGCCAGAGAGAGTGGGACATCAATGCAGGCCTGAGTAAGAAAAACGGTATCTTCCTCCTAAGCCATGGCATATCAGTTATACAGAAATACCACCTTGGGGAACAGTCTTTAGGAGAGCCTAGATGAGCTCACACATTCTCAACAGAGTATCCCCCAACTTGCCCTTCAAGTTCTACTTCGGTTTGAAAAGGCTATAAATTCAGCATTGGCTCAGAGGATCAGGAACAGAGTCAATTTCAGGGGCTCTTTACATAAGTACAGATTCTGTGGACTTCTGTATTGAATGATGTTGAATTCAGAGAGGTGGCAGGACTGATTAAAGTGGATAAAGTGAAAATTGTAGCCTGTGACGGTAAAAACACGGGCTCTAATACTACAGAATGAATAGGAAAAACATGGCTTTTTTATGCCGTCTTCTGTTAGTAGTCATCACTTTTTTTTTTTTTTCTGGAGAGGTTTTTGCTTTTTTTTTTAGCAGGTGCTGCAGTGATGTAGTGATTAAAGTGTTTGACTCCCACATGATCGACTGCAGTTTGAGTCCTGGACTCACACTGGGCACATGTGTGTCTGTGTCCAAAATCCCAAGAGCAGAATGGAGGAGAAGAGATTGTAAATGGCCATTCCCTGGGAGGGAAGACTGTGTCTTGGTGAGCATACACGCCCTATAGCAAAAAAAAAAAAAAAACCTTGAAAAAACAAAACCACCCGGTCGGGGAAGAGGCATCTCCTATCCTGCTCCTGGCCGCCACTGGTGTCGGATCGTCCAGAGAAGCACCTGTGCCAGAGGTAGTGGGACATCCATGCAAGTCTGAATAAGAATAACAGTATCTTCCTCTAAGTCATGGCATAGCCGTTATACAGAAATACCACCTTGGGGAACAGTCTTCAGGAGAGCCTAGATGAGCTCACACAGTCTCAACAGAGTATCCCCCAACTTGCCCTTCAAGTTCTACTTCAGTTTGAAAAGGCTATGAATTCAGCATCGGCTCAGAGGGTCAGGAACGGTCAATTTCAGGGGCTCTTTAAATACGTGCAGATTCTGCGATTATGTGTGGACTTCTGTATTGAATGATGTTGAATTCAGAGAGGTGGCAGGACTGATTAAAGTGGATAAAGTGAAAATCATAGCCTGTGAAGGTAAAAACGGGCTCCAATACTACAGAAGGAATAGGAAAAACGGCTTTTTTATGCCGTCTTCTGTTATTATTCATCATTTTCTGAAGACAAGCATAGAAGAGACTTTTTAAATTTATTCTAGCATTGCAAAAATGACAACACTTTGCCAAATTATCAGAAAATTCAAGTAGAAAGAAGCTTAAAACCCTGTAGCTTCTTACCTTTATTATCCATCGTGAGGAAGCATAACTTTTTTTAATGACAAATCAAAATTTGTATCTACCTAAGAACATTCCGTAATAAATTCATTAAAAAAACAACAAACCAACGAACAAACAGAACTAGAGCAAGTAGAAAAATAATGATAGGAAAAAACAGTGAAATAAAATTTATTAAAACAATAGATAAAACTAACAAAGCTATAATTTGATCCTTTGAACAACTTAAAAATATCTAGATCTTTATCTTGCATAAGGAGGAGAGGTTTTTGCTATAGGGTGCGTGCACTCGCCAGACAGACAGAGACATAGAGACAGAAAGTGAGAAATCACCCCCCAGAGGGGACGGCCACGCCGCAATCCCCACTCCCCAATTCTCCTCTCGGGATCTTGGGCATGCACGCACGCACACACACCCGCACCCAGCATGAGCCCTAAGCCACCAGGTCCAGGACGCGAACCATGGCCGGCCACGTGGGAGTCCAGTGACACAGCCATTATGCCAACTGCTGGTTCCCAGGAAGCATAACTTTTTTTAATGATAAACCAAAAGTTTTTGCCTACCTAAGAACTTCTGTAATAAACTCATTGTAAAACAAGACAAACAAACAAAAAGTTAAGTTGGACTGGGGGCTGGCAGTTGGTGTGGTAGATAAGGACACTAGACTCCTACATGGCCGACTGTGGTTCGAGTTCCAGACCTGGTAGCTTGCTTTCTCACTTTCTCTCTCTCTCTCTGAAACTCTATCCCTCTCTGGTCAAATTTAAATAAATAAATAAATAAACAAATAATGGGACCAGCAGTTAGTGTAATGGCTATGTCGCTTGACTCCCATGTAGTTGACTGCGGTTCAAGTCCCAGACCTGGTGACTTAAACACATGCATGCGTGTGTATGTGCCCAAGATCCCAAGAGGAGAATGGAGGAAAAGGGATCATGGCGTGGCCATCCCCCCTGGGTGGTGATTTCTTGCTTTCTGTCTCTCTGTCTCTCTGGCGAGTGCATGCACCGTATAGCAAAAACTTCTAAAAAAAAAATAAAATAAAATAAACAAAACAAACAAATAAAATAAAGTTCAATGAAATAATTCTTTAAACAAAAAAGTTAAGTTGGGCTGTTGAAAGTGGAATGGAGTGGAACAAAGGTAAAATCAGGGAGACTAGTTAGGAACCTGTTGTGCACTGAAAAGTGGTAGTGCCCCAGCCTATGATGGAAAATATAGAAGTGGTTTATTTCTGAATATATTGGGTTGTTGGGAAAGTCATGACACATTTTTGCATAAAAGGCATAGAAAAACATGTCATGACTTTCCTGACAACCTTATTTTTTTTAGGATTTTTTTAAAGAATTATTTATTATTTTTATTCATTCATTCATTTATTTTAATTTGACCAGAGAGAAATACAGAGAGAGAGAGAGAGAGAGAAAGTGAGAAAGCAAGCCACCAGGTCCAGGACTTGAACCTGGGTTGGCCATGTGGGAGTGTCCAGTGCCTTAACCACCATACCACCTGCTGGTCCCCCTTTAAGAATTATTTTATTAAACTTTATTTATTATTATCATTATTATTTGTTTCAACCTGACCAGAGAAAGACAGAGACACAGAGAGAGAAAGTGAGAAAGCAAGGTGCCAGGTCTGAGACTCAAACTACGGTCAGCCATGTGGGAATCCAGCATCCCTAACCACTATGCCACCTGCCAGCCCCAACAACCTAATATTTTGAAAGTAAAGTGGGTGTTTGTGACAGAGATATGTAAGGGTGGTTTAAATGATTTGGGCTTGGGGAACCAGCAGTTAGCGTAATGGCTATGTCGCTGGACTCCCATGTAGTCGACTGCGGTTCGCGTCCCGGACCTGGTGGCTTAGAACTCACGCCGGACGCGTGTACGTGCGTGCCCAAGATCCTGAGAGGAGAATGGAGGAGAAGGGATTGCAGCGTGACCATCCCCCCTGGGGGGTGATTTCTTGCTTTCTGTCTCTCTGTCTGGCGAGCGCACGCGCCCTATAGCGAAAACCTCTCCAAAAAAAAAAAAAAAAGATTTGGGCTTGGGCAGCTAGTATAGAGTAGCCTTAATGGAGAAGATGTGTTTATAGGAAGATTGGGAGTTTGGTTTCAGACATACTGATGTGTCAGGATATTGACTAGACATCAAGGGACCACATGAGGAAAACAGTCAAATCAATGTATTACTATCTCTGCTCCCACAGCTTACTGACCAGGCATGGCTCCCTGCTGGGGTTCGAGTTCCCCTCCACCAAGTGCCTTATACCGTGAAGGGCCGTTTCCGCTTCCTGCCCCCAACTCAGGTCACTGTTGTGGGCAGCTACCTTCTGGGCACCTGCATCCGACCAGACATCAATGTGGATGTGGCACTGACCATGCCTAGGGTAAGGTCCAGGGTTTTGGAATAGAGAGGTCTTCCACTTGACCAACTACAGATCCCAAGGTCTCTCTCTCACTAGCTGCTTGCCAAGAGATTAAAATCTGAATTCTAAATCAAATGAGCAGACCACTGCAGTCATGCTGAAGGCGGCTCGGATGAGCCCTTGGGCCAGTTACTACCCCTTTGGAACTTTCCTTCCTTAGCTGAGAATTGGGTATGATATGGATAGTCTTGGCTTAGGGCCTCCAGTCAGCAGTGAAGCCTTGGGACCCTACCTTGGTTTCATTTTGGCCCCCAAGTTCTATAAGCCCTTAAGTGTCTAGTCATCTCTCTTTGACTCTCTCTTTGACTCTTTCAGGAAATCTTACAGGACAAGGATGGGCTGAACCAGCGCTACTTTCGCAAGCGTGCCCTCTACCTGGCCCACTTGGCTCACCATCTGGCCCAGGATCCCCTCTTTGGCAGTGTTCACTTCTCCTACGCCAATGGCTGTCACCTGAAACCCTTACTGCTGCTGCGGCCACATGGTGGGAAGTGTACACTGTTCTGAGGATATTCTATTAAGTGACAAATCTGGAGGGGGCAGGTACAGGGGCCTCAAGTCTAGGGGAGTAAAGGTAGGGACCCCAAGTCCAAGGTGAGATTCATGGCCCTCAAGGTTGAAGGGGAAGGTATAGGGACCAGTTCTGAGGTGGGAAAGGGTGGGGCCCTTGTCTACGAAGGGGGTGATGTGGGTACCCCTTTGGCTCCAGGGGCTGCAGAGTTTCAGCATCCCCTGTATCTGCCCAGGGAAGGATGAGCGCCTGGTCACCGTACGTCTACATCCATGCCCACCGCCTGACTTTTTCCGCCCATGCCGTTTGCTGCCAACCAAGAACAATGTGCGCTCTGCCTGGTACCGAGGTCAGAGTCCTCCAGGAGATGGTGAGCAGGCCTTGGTGTCAAGATGGATCTGGAGGGAAGGTATTGTGGGGACCAATTGCCTCATGGCTCCTCTTTTCCTCCCACAGGGAGCCCAGAGCCACCAACTCCCCACTACAACACATGGGTCCTGCAGGACACAGCTCTTGAGTCCCATGTGCAGCTGCTGTCAACTGTGTTGGGCTCAGCCTCCGGGCTAAAGGACGGCGTGGCACTTTTGAAGGTGTGGCTGCGGCAGCGGCAGCTGGACAAGGTGAGTTGGAGGTGGCTTGGCCCCCCTCCCCTGCATAGCTGAGTCGGGGACTGGCTCTGAGCTCAGGCCTCTCCCTCCATCTGTCTTTCAGGGCCTAGGTGGGTTTAACGGATTCCTTATGTCCATGCTGGTTGCCTTCCTCGTGTCTACACGGAAGATTCACACCACCATGAGCGGCTACCAGGTCCTGCGAAGCGTCTTTCAGTTTCTTGGTGAGGCAGTGAGACTGGAAACAGGGGTTCTACTCATCTCTGGAGTCCTCTCATTCTATCAGGAATCCTTCAGTTCCTTGCCCTCAGACAGATAAACTGAATCCTAGAGGCAGACAGTTGCAGCCACCCAGGCTGAGGGAGGTCATTAGAACTGGGATCTTGGTGAGAGGGGAGACCTTCTAACACCCACCTTCTCTGGTTTCCTCTAGCCACCACGGATCTGGCAGTCAACGGCATCAGTTTATGTCTCAGCTTAGATCCCTCCTTGGTGAGTTGGGGACAGACCAGGACCATGCTAGGAGACCTGAAGGTCAGGCCCCAACCTGACTGGCTTCTCTGTACTCCCCTAAGCCGGCCCTGGCAGACTTCCACCAGGCCTTCCCTGTTGTCTTCCTGGACTCCTCAGGCCGTCTCAACCTCTGTGCTGATGTCACTGCCTCCACTTACCACCAGGTACCAAGGGGCCTCCACTCTGGGGTTCCCCAAGTGTCCCAGCTTAAGCTCTGTCCCTTTGGTCAGTTCCAGAACCCCAGAAACTCCTTGCTAAAGAGCTAAGGCTAGACAAGTCTCCTGGTCGGAGTCCTCAGTTCAACGAGAGGTACAGTGGCGGTACTTCTTTCCCTGTGGTCCCAGGTGCAGCATGAGGCACGGCTGTCCATGGCATTGCTGGACACCAGAGCTGAAGACGGGTTCCAGCTGCTGTTGATGACTCCTAAACCCATGATTCGGACTTTTGACCATGTCCTGCAGTGAGTTTAGGGGACGATAGGGTTTGTTGGCAGGTCCTAACTTCCTGGGGCTGTGGGGATAGGGCAAAGTCCTCAGGAGTTCAGATCTCCATGAGAGGAAAGGAGGAGGTGACAGTAGAGGCTGGCAGATGCTGATTCCCCTTTGTCCCTCCATGCCCTCTAGTATCCGTCCACTGAGTCGCCTGCAGGCAGCGTGTCACCGGCTGAAGCTCTGGCCAGAACTGCAAGACAATGGTGGGGACTATGTCTCTGCTGCTTTGGGTCCACTAACTACTCTTCTAGGACAGGGCCTGGGACCCCGGCTTCTCCTCCTGGCTCACTCGCGGCCCTCGGTCCCAGAGGTGAGGTGGTGAAGTAGGTTGGGGAATCTATGAGTCTGAGTAGGTCTGTAGATCTAGGGTCCCAAGAGACTCAAAGGGAGCACACCCATTTATCTAAGTACTAGTTGGATTCCAGGCCAGACTGGGGGATTCTTGAGTTGAACTTAGCCTTTTTTTTTTTTTTTTTTTGAGAGGGTTTCGCTATAGGGCGCGTGCGCTTGCCAGACAGACAGAGAGAGACAGAGAGACAGAAAGCGAGAAATCACCCCCCAGGGGGGATGGCCATGCCGCAATCCCTTCTCCTCCATTCTCCTCTTGGGATCTTGGGCACACACGCACACGTGCCCGGCGGGAATTTTAAACCACTGGGTCCGGGACACAAACCGCAGTGGACTATGTGGGAGTCCAGCAACATAGCCATTACGCTAACTGCTGGTCCCGAACTTAGCCTTTTTATACCTTGCAGTGGGACATTAGCCAAGGTCCACCAAAGCACAAAGACTCTGGGATGCTGACCCTGGGATTGCTCCTTCAGCCTGAGGGGCTGACCAGTGTCCTTGAACTAGGTCCCGAAGCTGACCAGCCTGAGGTAAGGAACCTCAGCATGTACACCAGAAGGCATGTGGTGGATTGTCCTCGTGCCACTTGACTTGAGGCTGTCAGGGAGATTTTTGAGAGAGCTCTTCTTTCTTATATCTTCCACTATTCTTGCCTCCTCTCAGGCTGTTGACTTTCGCCAGTTCTGGGGACCTCGCTCAGAGCTTCGACGTTTCCAGGATGGAGCCATTCGGGAAGCAGTGGTCTGGGAGGCAACCTCTATGTGCCAAAAGCGCCTTATTCCCCACCAGGTGGTCTCCCACCTTTTGGCACTGTAAGTGTAAGCTTCTGGATACCAGGAATTGACTGTGGGCTGGGGAGCCTTTTAGATGGGTCTGGCCCAGGCTTTTGGGGGTGAGCAACTCAGCTGCCGCTGGGACACGGCTTCCAGTGACCTTACTGTGTTTGTGCCCCTTTTTCAGCCATGCTGACATCCCAGACACCTGTGTCCACTATGTGGGGGGTCAACTGGATGCACTGATCCAACGCCCAAAAGAGGTAAGGGCCTTAGGGATCAAGGTTAGCAATTGTAGGGTAAACCCATAGTGAAATTGGTAGATTCTGCCGAGGCAAGGCTGCACTTCCTAGAGTGTCCAGCAGAAGGGGCACTAGCTCCATTGCAGCTTAAGGCAAGGCAGAATCCCAGACCATGCTGGGTTCTGTGACATCAGGCCTCCTGACTGTCTTCTCTCCCTCAGACATCCAGCACAGGCGAGGAGGCCCTGGCAGTAGCAGTGCGTTGCTATGATGACCTCAGCCGCCTGCTGTGGGGACTGGAGGGTCTCCCCCTGACTGTGTCTGCTGTTCAGGGAGCTCACCCAGTACTGCGCTACACAGAGGTAAGGTTCACAGGGGGAGCCCTTTCTGCTTGGTGACTCCCCACCTCTGCTCCAGGCACCAGCATTCCCCCTTCCAGTTCATCCCTGGGCAGTACCTTCCCGTCCAGGCCTTTCCTCAGCTCCCCTTCTTCCATAGGTATTCCCACCAGCTCCATTCCGGCCAGCCTACTCCTTCTATGAGCACCTGCGAGAGCGGGCCTCGCTAGCGCCCCGGCCCGATAAGCCCTGCCCAGCCTATGTGGAACCTATGACCGGTAAGAGGGCTCCTGAGAGGAATGGGAGCAACAGTTTCCTCTCCAGGCTACAGTACGACATCACTCATTCCCCTTCTCCCTCAGTGGTTTGTCATCTGGAGGGCAGTGGCCAGTGGCCGCAGGATGCCGAGGCTGTGCGGAGAGTCCGAGCTGCCTTCCAGCTGCGCCTGGCGGAGCTGCTAACACAACAGCACGGGCTGCTGTGCCGGGCCACTGCCACACACACAGATGTCCTCAAGGTGGAACTGGTGCAGGGCAGGGGGACCAGGGCTGGCTGGGTGTGGAAGGAGGCAGGCACCAGGCTGGGCAGCAGGGAAGCAGGCAGCAGAGCACCCCTAGGCTAACATTGACTTCGACAGGATGGGTTTGTGTTCCGGATTCGCGTGGCCTATCAGCGGGAACCCCAGATCCTGAAGGAGACACGGAGCCCTGAAGGGATGATCTCACTGAAGGACACGCCTGCCTCCCTCCGCCTTGAGAGAGACACAAGGCAGTTACCCCTGCTCACCAGTGCCCTGCATGGGTAAGGCCCCCACATAGGCTCTTCCTGTCCATAGACCCTTTCCTGTCTCCATTCTACTTTCCTGGCTACCGATCTCTCTGGGAGACCAGATGGCATCATAGTTAGGTATGTAAGTTTTGGAATCCTGGCTCTGCTACTTACCGATTGTATCCTCTTGGTGGGTTTCCCCCCGTGAACCTTAGTTTTCTCACCTGTACAATGGGAGAAATGCTAAGTTCAACCTCACATGCCTGTTAGGAGGACATGAGATTATACATGTAACGCAGTAGCACAGAGGCCAGCATTGTGTAGGGGTGGAATAAACAGTGGCAGTGGGTGTGCTGCTGGACCCGAGTGCCTGAGTCTCCTGCCGCTCCTCCCACACAGACTCCAACAGCAGCACCCGGCCTTCTCCAGTGTGGCTCGGCTGGCCAAGCGGTGGGTGCGTGCCCAGCTCTTGGGTGAAGAACTCACTGATGAGAGCCTGGATCTGGTGGCTGCTGCCCTTTTCCTGCACCCTGAGCCCTTCACCCCTCCCAGGTGATTCCTTCTACCTTGTTCTAGCCAGGATATTCCCCTGGGGACCAGCTTAAATCCTTGCTACACTCTCAGTCCAAATTGGAGATTGTGGCTGAAGCATACAACAGGTGTTTTAAGACACTCCCCACCCCCATCCCAGACACAAAGGGGTCTAGACTCTCTAGACTGTGGGGGAAGCTTGGGAATGTATGACTGGGCTCTGATTTTGCTCACTTCTCAGCTCCCCCCAGGTTGGCTTCCTTCGCTTCCTTTTCTTGGTGTCAACCTTTGACTGGAAAAACAATCCCCTGGTAGTCAACCTCAACAATGAACTCACGGGTAAGTGGTAGGGCTGAGGTCAGATTGTAGGAAGAACTATACTTTCTGGATTTCAGAATAAAAGGCAGGCAAGGATTTTTCTTCTCGGTCTCTTAGGTGAACTCCATGTCTTCTCAACCCCAGATATCTAAGCCTGTCATGGGGTGAGGAATTGTCTGGAGGAAGAGACCCAGGTCAAGCCTGGTCAAAACATGGTTTGCCCACGTGATAGTCAGAGACAATGGATTGATACCTGGGTGGGGAGTTGGTAGGGGATGGATGGGGAGGGTAGGTAGAAGGGTGATCCTGAACACCAGGTGCGAACGTCTTGTGGCGGGGAAGAAGGAAGTTTAGAATAGATGCCCATACCTCTTGGGGGATGGGAATGTTGATTTCTGGTTGTAACATGAGGAGCCCCTGGTCTCCGCAGAAAGCAGGATATCAGCTTCCTAATTCTCCAGGTGTGTGGGAGCCCAGGGTGGGATGGGGCCAGGGGCAGGCCTCAGCTTGTGGAGGCCCGGAAACCAGACTGGGGGTGCCAGGCAATGGAAAATTTTGTCTTTCGCTTAGGCAGGAGATTAACACCCCACCCGACTGAGGTATCCCTTTAGTTGCCTCCTTTCTCCACCTCTGGAGGGGTCCGGAAAACCCCCATGATGAGTATCTGCTCGGTATAGGAGGCGGACCTTGACCAGGAGAGGGTGCAGTGTGTAGAGGGATAGGCTGACCTGGGACCCCCTTTTGTCTCCAGCGGACGAGCAGGTGGAAATCCGCAGTGGCTTCCTGGCAGCTCGGACACGACTCCCTGTCATGTTCATCGTTACCCCCCAGGACCGCAAAAACTCTGTGTGGACACAGGATGGACCCTCAGCCCAGGTTCAACCTCATACCTGCCCCTACACGTGTGATTTTTCTTTCCCAAGGAAAAAGCAGGCCCAGCTTGAGCTAGGAGAGACCCACGGTCAGTTCTCGTCTGATGTATATGTTTCCCCCAGATCCTACAGCAGCTTGTGGTCCTGGCAGCTGAGGCGCTGCCTATCCTAGAGAAGCAGCTAATGGACCCCCAGGGACCTGGGGACATCAGGGTAAGCTCTTGACCAGCAGTAGTTCTAGAGGCTCTGGGAATTCTGTCTTTGAACCCTGGAAGTCCAGAGTTGGAGTGATCCTCACAGGTTGCTTAGTCCCCTGTTTGAATCTGGATTCAGAATCCAGAGAAGTCATGAAGCTACCATGGTGCCTGTGGCAGAGCCTGGAGGAGAACCTGGGCTCCCTCCAGGCCTCATGCTTCTGTCTGTGCTACTCCCGCTGGACTTTAGTCGGC